GCTTCCTCCCTTGTCCTATGGGGGGATAGGGGGACTCAACGACCTCTCCAGGTCCCTTCTGGCTGGGATCTATAAGAGCCTGCACATAATCATGTCCCTCCCACCTCCCATCCTGCCCCCAGACTGCCTCTTCCCTCCATTCCATCGGCTCCTTGCACCCCTTCCACACCAAAACATCAGCTCTGACCAACGAAGCCAGAGGTTTCCATCACAGAGAAATACAGCAGAGTACCAACCCCTCCCTGACCCTCCCCACAGAGCATGCCCTTCTTTCTGTTTGCAGAAACAATCATAAAAACAACAAATAAGATATTAACCCCACCAGGTGGCGGAACAGGGAGAAACCAAGCTCTCCGTGAGGATGACAATGATGGTGGCCAGCATTTACAGAGACTTCAAGGTTCACAATATGCTTTACAAACAGGATCACAACAACCTTGGGAGGGAGGTGCTATTATTATCCCCAGTCTATAGCTGGGGAAACTGAGACATTAGGTAAGACAGGCATTAAGTAATTAATTAAGACAGACATTAGGTAACTTACCCAAGATCACACAACTAGGAAGAGTCAGCGGTAGGATTTGAACTCTAGGCCTTCCTGACTTCAGGTCTGGCACTCTACCCACTACACTACCTAGCCACCTAAGTAGCAGACAATTATGTAGGGAGCGCTATAGTGTGGCCATGGCATTAGCCTCTATGAATTCATGCTGATACCAAACTGAAAGCAGTGAGACTACTTGAGATTTTCCTCTTCTATAAACAATCCAAACAGTAATGGGGAAAATCAGCCACCCCCAAGGTACTACCCCAAAGACTCCAGCGCAGTCCACCACTCTGATTGCTTCCATTCCACCAAAAAGGCATGTGTACCTCTTCATGATCGAAATGAAGAATTTCCCTAAAGGCTCATGTAACAGTCAAGTGTCCCTTTCATGGAAGCCATCCTTGGGTCTGGATGTAAGTGTGATGCATAAATTCCCCATGACACCATCAAAGGAAGACCACAGCCAGCTTCTTGACACCCAGGCCTCTCTGCTCTGGCCTTCACCTCTGCCCTTTGTTTTAGCATTCATAGTTACTGAAGGATATTTACTACAGATGAAAAATGAGCCCCACTTGGCAGGCCCTAAAATAGAGCAAGTCACTTTAAAATGAACTGGGTCAAATGTAAAACAAAATGAGACTCCCTGGTGGGGTGGCTGATAGAGGCAGGAGACCTGACTGGGCGGCTAGGGAGAGGCCACAGAGAGGCCCCCTGCCCAAAGTGGGGAGAGCAGAGGAAGCCCGTCCTCGGGGCATACGCTCAAGAAGCCAGCCACCGGGCCACAGGGATGGCGAACACAAGCACGCACAGATGCTGTAACATTACATGAACGTTCTTTACAAGCAGCTTACATTGCGGCTCTGCTCCTACAGAGGTGAGGCACACAAAGCCCGGTGTGAGCATTGTCCTCAAAGAATGAAGGTAGGGGACAGGACAGAAGCCTCGACCAAGTCTGAGTGTTTTGACACAATGCATACAATTCAATCAAAGGCATGAAATTCCACATCACGTGATATATCCAGCCAGACATGCCAATGATCCCCCAGCAAGGGCAACGCATGCCCAAAATTTCCTCAAGAAAAATCAGAATATGAATTGGCTGACACATGCAACTGCACAAATTGTTCTATTGCCCTGGATTAATCTGCTTTTCAAAAAGGTATTTATTTTCTATATTGATTTAATCACTTTCTCTTGATCAACAAAGAGGAATAAAGTGAGTCACTATATGGGGGGCTAAGCTCTGGGGCCTCTATCCAATGGGCAATAGGCGGATGTCTCCAATGATGGAAAGCTACAACTTTCCAATTTTCTTCCAGAAATAACCTAATCATCAATTACAACTCGAAACAATTTCAAACACCACAGATATGGCAGTGGCCAGTGGCATGACGCACAGTGATGGGCCTATCTCCACTCATCTTGGAGTTATCCTTGATCAGACGGGTATCTCATCCAAAATGATTGCCAACAGAGTTTTACTTGAAAGGCCAAAGTCAGCTGGGCAGCTCAAAGACACCACTGGGGCTCTTAAAATCAAATCCCTCAAAACCCCACCCTGACGTGGATGGAAGCCCCTAAGGACTGACCAGAAGCCAAGAAAACAACAGTACTTTATGTTTCTCACAATTAATATGTTGGAGCAAAGGATCTGGAGTCAGGAAGACCAAAATTGGAATCCTGCCTCAGGCACTTCCTAGTTGGGTGACCTTGGGCTACAATGATTTCATTTCCCAGAGTTTCAATTTCCTCCTCGTAAAATGGTGAAGATAACAATAGCCCTCCTTCCCAGGGCTGCTGGGAGGATCACAGGAGGCTCCATGGAGATGATGTTTGGAAAGTTCTTTGCCAATCCTTCACACACTGATTTGTGAATGAGCTGTTACCTGCTCTGGGCCCCATCTCAATGTCACAACATCATTATGGAGGTCTGATGCATCATGGGCTCTTTGAGACTCAATTCACAGCCTTCCAATCGGTCCCATACTGTCTACCCCGATAGACTGAAGGGTCCCAAAGGGCAGGGACTGTCTCATTTTGTGTTTGTATCCACAGCACTTAACACAGAAGGCATTTAACCAAATGACTGTTGATTGACTAGACTTAGTGAGACCTTCAGGATCCTCACCAATGAAGTCTCTCCTCAGAGAGCTAATAGCACCTACATAATGCTTTAAGGTTTATAAAACACTTTATATGTTATCTCATTTTATCTCCTTCACAATCCTGGAAGGTAGGTGCTATTACTGGGAGGTAGGGGGCACGGTGAATCGAGTGCTGGGTCTAGAGTCAGGAAGACCTAAGTCAAATCTGGCCTCAGTCACTCACTGGCCATGCGACCCTGGGCAAGTCACTTAACCCTGTTTGCCTCAGTTTCCTCATCTATAAAAGGAGCTGAAGAAGGAAACAGCAAACCACACCAGTATCTTTACCAAGAAAATCCCAAATGGGGTCATGAAGAGTTGAAAACGACTAAACAGCAGCAGCAGGTATTATTATTATTATCTCCATTTTACAGATGAGGAAATTGAGGCACATAGAGGTTAAACATGACTTTTCCAGGATGACACAGATAGCAAGTGTCTGAGATTGAATTTAAACTCAGACCTTCCTGACTTCAAGTCCACCACTCTCTCCAGGGTGCCATCTTGCAGGTCCAATGATGTCACTCCTCTATTCAGGTAACTCCAATGCTCCCTACTCCCTCCAGAAGCAAAGAGAAAATCCTGTTTGGCCTTTTAAGTCCTGCAGAACCTGCCCCTCCTACCTTTCCAATCTTCTTATGCCTTCCTCCCCCCAGGTACTCTGCAATCCAGGGCTACTGGCCTCCTGGCTGCTCCTCCTACATAGGCCTTCATCTCCTGATTCTGGTTATTCTCACTGACTGTCCCCCAGCCTGGAATGCTCTCCCTCCTCCTCTCCACCTTGGACCTTCCCTGCTGGCCATCATTACCACCACCACCACCACCATTATCATCATCATCATCATCACCATCTTCATCACCACCATCATCGTCATCACCACCACCATCATCACCATCACCACCATCATCACCATCACCACCATCATCACCATCACCATCACCTTATGGCTAGCCTGGTTTTCCCCCAATGCTGCCTCTTGTTGGTGTTAACAGCATATTGATTATTTTTATTATTTTTCCTTAAAACAGAGAAAAGGGGCAGCCCTCCAGGAAGTTTCAGAGTGGGGTTAGTACTCTTGCTGTATTTCGCTTTATTCAAGTCTCAACTGAAGCGCCACCTTCTGGGAAAAGCCCTTCTCCACTCCCCTTTACCCTGGTGCCTTCCCTCTGATAATTATTTCCAATTTCTTCTTTCTGGGGCTTATTTGTACACAGTTGTTTGCATCTTGTTTCCTCATTAGACTGTGAGATCCTTAGGGGCAGGAACTGTCTTTTGCCTTCCTCTGATTCCCCAGCACTTGGCACACAGTAGGTACTTAATAAATGCTGTTCATGACTCAGGTCATTCACTTGGTTACAAAGGCACAGTCCTAGAACCACAATTAGAACTGGAATAGGAGAGAACCTTAAGGACTGGATTTCCTTTTTGCCTTTAGTTCCCAATATCTAGCATAATGCCTGGCGAATGGTAGGTACTTAACATGAATAAATCAAGAACACAGTACAGCTCCGTTTTTTCACCAAAGCCCACCTGGAGGGCTTATGATTTGTATGACCCCAGACAAGTCACTACAAACTTCCCTAGGTCTTTGCTTTCCCCTCAGTAAAATGAAGGGGCTGGCCTAGTACATCCTTTCCAGCATCAAAGATCCCATGAAGTTAGGCCCAGCTGGGTAGAAACTTTCCCCAAGTTACAGACAGAGCAGGGCTGAGGCTGGGGAGTTGACTCACCTGCCTCCCAGCCCATGGCTCTCTCCACAATCCCAGGCCCTGCCTCAACACAAAATCAAGTTTGAGATAAGTCTATGGTGCAATGTAGGGCTGTAAAAATTGGCAAGCCGTGTATGGTAACTCTAGATTCACCACAACATCTGATTCACCAGGACACCCCATGCCCGGAGGGTGCCAGATAAGTGAGAATGGGCCATATCAAAGAGGGGGCAGAAAGAACAGAGGCAAAAGTCCAAATAGGGACAAAAGTTATTATAAACCTTGGCAGAAATTAAGATCCAAACGTTATACACACACATACATACTCTGACATGCACGCACACACACTCTTCCATTCAAGAGCTCTTTTCATTTCCATCCAAACTAGATTAATGATTTTAAACATCGCTCTTCAGCATAAACACAAGGAGAGACATCAAAAGCTGTGTCACTGCGAAATTCTGGGAAGAATTCATGGGCACAGCTGTAAACCCCCATTCACAGTTATTTAGAAGTCACCACATAGAGACCCAACTCAAGTTGCTGGGCAATTCATCAACAAGCATTTGAAACAGAAAAATGGAACCAAGAACACTTACCAAGTTATGATTGGTTGAGTTAGAATCATCTTCTGGGAATGGGATGTAAACAGCTAAGGCCACACAATTGGCAAAAATCGCCAACAATATAAATATGTCAAATGGTCTAGAAAGTCTGGTTAAGGATAAACATGTAGGAAGGAAAGCCCACGACCCCGCGCCACAGCCCATGAGACTTTCTGAGCCAAACAGACTCCGCTCAGTTTTCTGATTGCCACTCCCAGAGACCCTGAGCTCCAAGCAGCAATGGCCGTTCTCCTCCTCGAGACGCATCAGCACGAGCTCTCAGGGTCCTCCTTCATGACTTCAGCCTCACCTTATTCACTTTCTGAGGCTGTAAATTTATTTCAAAGCCATGGTGCATTCAAGTAAGGCAAGGCCCTAACCAAGTTCCCGTATTTTCTTGTCTAAAAGGAAACTCTGGAAGCCAAATTCCCTGTGGGGCATCTGGTTGTCCTGACACAAGCTACTTCCTCAGATATTTACTATCACCTACTTAGGTTTCTTGGGCAGCTAGTACAGTGAATAGAGTACCAGGCCTGGAGTCAGGAAGACCTGAATTCAAATCTGGTCTTAGACACTTACTAGCTATGTGATCCTAGGCAAGTCATTTCACCCTGTTTGCCTCAGTTTCCTCATCTGTAAAATGAGCTGGAGAAGGAAATGGCAAATCACTCCAGTATTTCTGCCAGGAAAACCCCAAATGGGGTCATAAAGCCAACTGAACAACAACACTTATGCTCTTAGCTCACGTAGGGCAATCTTGACCTCATCCATGAAAACTCAATCCCTACAAGATAGAGGCAAGTCTTCCATTTGGTCTCAGTGCCTTTGGGAAAAACAGGTTTGAATTCCAGCCCCACTGTTTACTAGTTCTATCTAATATGGATGAGTTACTTGGCCTCTCTGTTGGGGTTGGACCTGATATCTCTGAGGTCCCTTCGAGCCCCAGATGAGGGGTCAGCAGACTACTACCTGTGGGCCAGATCCTGGCCACCATCTGTTTTTGTATAGCCCACAAGCTAAGACAGATTAGATCTATGAGCGTAGGGTGGTAAAGGAGGATGGGGGTAAGCAAGCCATGTGGTCAACACCTTTTCTACTTTCTCTGTTCCCCAAGGGTCATCCAAGGGCTTTAGAAGCCCTCCAGAACTCAACCCCCTCCTAGGTCTTCAGTCTCTTACACCTCACCCTGCTACAAACACTCTAGAGCTTAGTGACACCAGCCTCCTTGCTGTTTTTCACCCAAGTCGATCCATCTCTGGATTCCAGGCATGGTAGCTGTGCTCCATGCCTGGGGTTCTCTCCTCCTCACCTCTGACTCCTGGCATCCTTCCGAACTCATCCTTCTGTAAGAAGCCTTTCCCAGCTCCCTGATGCTAGTGTCTTCCCCCAATGTGTCCCATTTCTCCTGTCTGTATCTTGTTTGTACATAGTTGTTTGCATGTTCTGTCTCTTATTAGATTGTGAGCTCCTTGAGGGCAAGACTGATTTTGCCTTTCTTTGTATCCCGTGTTTAGCCCAGTGCCTGGCACACAGTAGGTGCTTAATACATGCTTCTGACTTGACTTGAAGTATCAGTAGTATGGAGTATAGTCAGGCTTCAGTTTGCTTTATCCTAGGCTGTCACTGGGTTCAGTTTACAAAGAAACATAAGTGTAATAAGAAACCACAGGGAGTCAACAGCAGACACTTCCCCAGAGCCCCATTCGTGGCTCTCAAGCTGGGGGGTCTGTTTCCAAAGGATTGCATCAAGACCAGTCTTCAATAATGACTCAACTAAACATTCTGGGGTTAGGACGAGGCACTCGCAGACCCACCATAATGACTTGTGGGATGTTTTGTTTTTCAGTAGCAAAGGGCTTCTTGAACAGCTGAGCTAAACTGCAGTCCTAAGGTCAAACACGCATCAGACTTTCTGTCATCAGGATATGCTCCCAGCAAGGGCCTTGACCACAAGCCCTGGGCCATGTGCTGAGAGCAATGCCCTGACGGGTCACAGGGACCTCCAAGGCCATCGAAGTCCGTTCTCTTCTTTTTAAAGAAGAGAAAACTGAGGCCAAGAGGGGTTAAGTAACTCAACCAAGGTCAGCAAGTGACAGAGCAGAGCTGGGATTTAAATTCAAATCCTCTACCTCCACAGTCAATGCTGTGCACCTCCCACAGAATGTCTGCCCTGAGAATCCCCGAAGACTTTAGTGAAGGAAAACCCCCTTTGCTTTCTGGGGGATCCTAGAAAGAAATGTCCACTGTCTTTTTTTTTTTTTTGGTCTAGACCTAAAATGTCATCTGTAGTGTGGGAACACCTCTCACCAACACAGATCAGTGATTCGTCTGTATCTTCTCTTATAGCATTATCTAAGCACACTGAGACCTATTCATGATCACCATGTTATTAAATTTCTGAGGCAGAATTTGAACCCAGGTCTTCCTAATTACAAGTCTAGCACTCTATGTTGCCTCTCATAAAAGTGTCAATCCCTTCAGGACTCACAGGTGAGAGAAGAGAGTAAGGGCTCTAGGAAGAGATGTCCCGCCCCCAAGGTTCATAACCTGTGGCTACGAATCAAGAAAGTAAAAAAGCCCCTCACACTCTGACCTTATTAACTGGGACTTCGTGGAGATTCTTATTAGTTAACTTTGACCTTGACATTAATTTTGACCAAGTTCAGACACTAGAATATTTGATCAGACAGGCTAGATTGGGGTCTGCCAGAACAACCTTGACAAAACCACCTCTGGAATGACACATGTGAGGGAAATCCAAGTGGTGATTTGGTCCAACTTCTTTCTGCTTAAAACATACAGGGCCGCTCCAGAACCGGAGGCCGAGAGGCCTCCAGCCCCTTCCCTTGTCATTGCGCCAAGACAGCACACCTGGGAAACACCAACATTGCTGAGGAAGTCTAAAGGCAACACAGCTTTCTGTCTTTGTGTTTGGCGAGTTCCCATATCCAGAGCCTTCTTTGAGCACACTCTTCACCATCTCTGCCAGGAGATTTTGTCCAGCTAGCCAGAAGAAATCAATAGCTACTCAATTTGGATCTAACTGCCCCTTGGGATCCTTAGTACCCACCACTTTCCCAAAGTTCAGGTGGACATTCTATCCCATCACACATTGATTCCATGGTCCCTTCACTAAGGCAGAGAGCTGACCCCAGATTCACCAAGGTTGGGTCTTGAATTCAATTCATCGGGTTAATATGATCCACTATCAAAATGAAGTGACGTTTGGAGAGCCAAATGGGGTTGTGGATTCTCTTCTATACAGCTTCTCCTTTGGCACCTACTTCATGGGGCTGGCTTTTCTCCAAATCCCCAAATCCATAGCTATACCAGTGCAGGCCAGTGTGTGTGCTTAGGGGGTGGGGAAGGAAGGATGCCAAATCAAAGAAACTGTCTCATCTCTAGACCCAAGAAGAAAGACCACCTGGCCTTCTCTGTCATTCTGTAGACAGCCATTGACCCCAAGGAGCTCAGCTTATACTCCCTGATACAAGAGGGCCTCTTTCTTGCTGATGGCTAATTGAGGGCACACAAGCAGTCAGGGCATGTAGCTGTACCACTTCTTGTGCCGCCAAGAGAAAAACCCTCTCTAAGGGGATGCATAGCTTCTCTGGAGTTGGTCATTTTTTCCCCCAAAGGCCAAAAAACAGCTCAAGGAAAAACCTATAAGCAAAGACATATAACAGAGATTACGGGTCTTGAGAGAGAATAGGTACCTACGTTAGAAAGGTGTGGCAGAGGAAAGGGGAAGAAAGGGGGGAAGGGGGAGGCAACCAGGCTGCAACAGTCCCATATCCAGGATGTGGATGCTGGCTTCACAACCTTTCTAGCCAGCTTAGCTCACTGGCTCCCCAATCTGTGGTGGTCCAGCGAAGACAGAAAGAGGAGAGCTAAGCCCCTGGCAAGCTGAGGCCCAGGCTGAACATTTCAAAACAACTGTGTGCTCCACAACACAGTGTCGGGGGCGTGGCTCCTTAGCCTTCAACATCCTCTACCCTAAAGGTGGAAGGAAGGCAAATGAGCCCCTTTGATCCTTCCCAAGACAAGATGCTGCTCCCATGGCTAGTTACTCTCACTAGGAAGAGTCCTGAGCTCTGTCAGCCACAAAGTATTTCTGGGAGACGAAAATGCTACCCTCTGCTCAAGCCAGTGGGTCATTTTGGCAAAGAGAAAGTGCCATCACACACTCCTCCCTGAGCCGATAGCGGGACCAGAGGCCAGAGAAAGGAACTGGAAAGAAAAACAAGGTTACAGGGAGGGCCGAAAGATGGGAAGGAGAGCAGGAGGGCTAAATCTGGGGTCTGGGATACATCACCCATCTTGGGGCACTGGAAGTTCAATTTTAAAAATACAAAGGAGACACCCACACATGGAACTTCAGCCCAAGGACATAGGCCGAATTTTTTTCCCCTAAAGCCAGCAACTGCAAATTCCTGAGCTCAGAGAGCAGCTCTGTAAGTCAAAGGGTGGAGGGGGGCAGGAATTAGACAGCAGTGTCAGAGAAGACAGACACACAGACAGACACACAGAGACACAGACACACACACACAGACACACACACACACACACACACACACACACACACACACACCCCTACCCATAGTTCCTCACAGTTCGTAATACTCTGGTGGAGCCAGTCTAAGGAAATTCCAGGGAGAGATGGTATTGATGCTAAGAACTGAGACAAAGGTTCAGAGGACCATATGAGCACACAATGAGAACTAGAAAGGCCCCTTGGAAGTCACCAAATCTAACCTTCCTCATTTTGCAGATGAGGAAACTGAGGCACAGAAAGGTCAAAATTACTTGCCCAAGGTCACAAAGCTGGTTAAGGATCTGAGATGGGGTTTGAACCTAGGTTCAATCTTGTTTAGCACCTGAACAATGTACATTAATCAGAGTTTCAGGAACAGTTTCCAGATATCAAAATTAGAGGATTCTGCTGAAGATCAAAACTGTTTCTTTTGTCAGTAAAATTCCAATCAGTCTATTTTTTAATTCCCTTTTAAAAAACAAGATGGGCTCCAGGCCTGGCCAAGCCTAAAAGCCAAGAGAGACTGGAGATGCAGCTAAAAGTGCTCCCTGAATATGGTGCTCTCACCAGCTGCCCAACCCTCACCCCAGGCCTATTTCTTCCTTCCAGACTGACTGCTTTGCCATTTCCGATGGCCTTCCCTAACGTGCAGCCCCCTCCCCCAAGAGAAGGCTAAATATAACTGCAGAGCTAACCCCTTTCCAACTTGGGGAGCCCGAGTTTAAAATAAAAACAAGCTTATCCCCTGCCCCTCGTGCTCCAGGCCGTCATGGTCTCTAAGTGTTGTTCCAGAAAGCAAATCCTTTGAGCACGCGGGATATATTTGAGGAACAGATGGTGAAAAAAACCAACCCAAGGGAGAGGCCAACTCAAAAAAGGATACTTCCATTCCACGATACTAATGCAGGCTCTTCGGATGGGGTTGTTCAGAGAGAAACAGAAAAGGGCCCGGGCTGGCCGGCTGCTCGAGGAGCTCCCCTGTTTTTTGCTCTTGGCATATTGCTGACGTTTTCTTTGGGACAGAGACCCGACAGGTTGGGGGTTGGAGGTGCTCATAGTCTGGGCAGCCTTGGCTTGTCGAGCAGCATCGATCGCAGCTTGCCAGGAGAGGACAGTCTGCTGGGAGCTCTTCGGCCGGAACAGGGGTCTGTCACCAGAGACTGAGTTCCTGGGGCCTCTTGCATAGTTCGCCTCTGAGGAGGGAGGGAGAAGGAAAGAGACGAGTAGGGAGGAGGTGAGAGACGGAGAAGAGGAGAGAAGGTGGGAGGGAGGAGGGACGGGGGGGGAGGGGGGAGAAGGTTAGAGGGAGAGGGGGAGAGGAGGGAGAGAGGGAGGGATGGAGAGAAAGAAATAGAGAAGAGGGAGAAGGTGAGACGGAGAGAGGGAGAGAAAGGGGGAGAGAGAGAGAGAGAGAACACAACATGAATAAGTTCTCTAGCTGAACAAGTGTGTGTGTTACGAGTTGTTTTTCCCCCTCCAAACTGTTTTTTAAAATGTAATTTCTTATTCACTCAGCAGCACATCTGCACCCAAAGCCTCATTCCTTACCTTCCCAAGCTCGGGGCTATCTACCAGAGGGGAGGCAGAGACAATGGGTTTTCACAAAGCAGTTTTATATCCCTGTGTCTCCCCAAAACACATTTTCCTCTATTTCTTCAAATGAATGAAAAAGCCTTTAATCAGTGTTTCTTACATGCCAGGTTCTGTGCTCTCACAAAAGTAAGCTCCTGGCCTGTGGCTCAGGCCTCCTGGTTAATACTGAAATCTCCCCAAGCCCCAGGGAACCTGTTGAATATTTCTGATGGAAAGGAAAAGGAAGCCACCATTCCATATTGCAACCCGTCTTCAGGGTGACAGTCCCACATCTTTCAACAGCAAGGAAAGCAACATTCTTTCCAGCTCATGCAAAGCGAGTCTTCCCCTGGCATCCGGGCAAAGCAAATAATCTGGATTATGTCCCCACGCTTCCTTCAAATGAAAATTCATGAAGCCTGGCATTCATTTCCTCTGCTGGCTTCTGAAATCATCTCTGTCTTTTGGCATTTTTAAACTGACAGCTCATGTACCAGGCCAGAGGCCCCCCAGCCAGAGATGGGACCCCACTCATCCCTTCCAAAAGCCATCCAGAGCCCTAGCAGGCCAGCCTGAAACAAGATGCACAGACATCAACGGGGTCATTTCCCGTGGATCCTTCAGCTGCTCAGCAATCAGGGCAGTCCTCCCAGGCTGCTTCTGTCTGTGAACACAGCTGAGACTGGTCCCCAGTGCAACGGAAGGCAAGACGAATACAGTGGGAATCCTAAGTCATATTGGAGGGGGCAAGGAGAGGGGTCAATCAAATGAGAAGCCAGGAGATGGGGAGGGAATAAACCCTGGAAAACAGACAGCTGGAGAGGACAACGTGCACCCCCAACTCAAAAATAAAGAACATCAAGGCGAAAGGGCCAGCACCTCTCCCACCACCAGGGCCGGGGCTCCAAAGCTTCATCTGGGCCATACACATTTCACTGTTAGTCACTAGGTCACCTTAGGGTTGCCCTCATCCCTTCGGTTTTGCCCTGGCCCCAGGCTCTGGGCCACCCTGGAGTAACTTGGAGGAAGGGAATGTGTCCTCTGGTCATCCAGCTTCCAGCCCACCCATCCTGTTGGTGTGGAGGTGGAAGTGAGGGCGCTCCTCTGGCCTCAGCTAAGTGGGGTTGTGTGTGGTCCCCTCTTGGGGCCTGGGAGAGAAAGCATTCCCTTCACAGCGGCTATTTTTCCAGGTTAGAGGCACAAGGCTGCACCAGGGACCCCAGCCCTGCCAGCCAGCCTGCCCAGAAAGCCAGGAGCCGTGAGCAAGAAAGCCGGAGGGAGGGCAGACAGCCGGCAGGGCAGGAATGCACGTGTCTCTCCAGGTTCTTGGGGGGGGGGGGGGGGGCTGCAGGAAGGACTGGGGCTATTGCTAGGTTACCCGTACCACTCGAGGCAGTGGGGAAGGTGGGGGGAGACAAAGGCCAGAAATATGCCCCCCAGGACAATGGGGGGGGGCGGGGAATGTCACACCGAGACAAGAATACGAGAGAGGAAAAGGGCAGAAGTGGATGGGGATGAGCCTCCCCGCCTCGAGCCATCCAGCTGCCAGAATGAGGAGAGCCAGAACGGGCGATCGCGCCCCCGCCGGGCACTCCAATCTGGGCAGCTGCCGGCCCTCACCTGCGCCCCCTCCCAACACGCACACCTGACACGGAGGTGGGAAAGTGAAACCCAAAAGTCACCTCGGCCCACGAGGGCCTCCCCTCGAGCTCCCTCCATCTGGGTGAAAGACACCCCCCACCTCCAGCCCCGCAAGGCCCCCGTGGCCCCTCCCCCTCCAAACATGTCGCTGCCACGAAGCTCTCGAGCATCCTCAGGCCGGGGCCTTCCCTCCTTCCCTCCATCCTTCCATCCCTTTATCCCTCCTTCTCTCCAATCGTCCATGCCTTCTTGCCTCCATTCTCTCTATCCCTCCATCCCTCCTAGCCTCCATTCCCCCTCCCCCCAAGTCCGCACCTTTCGCGTGCTCCTCCTCCTCCTCCTCCCGCCTCGGGGGGTGCATTTTTTTCATCATCATCATCATCCTCCTCCCGGACCATTTATCGAGCGCCTGCTGTGTGCGTGTGCGTGCGCGGCGGCGACGCGGGCCGGCCGGCCGCGGGGGTGCGGGAGTGGGGTGGGGGGCGCCCTTCGGCTGCGGTGCGGTGCGGCGCGGTGCCCGCCCCTGCCCGGCCCTACGATAACCCACTCGGCTCTGCCCGGCGGCGGCGGCGGCTCCGGGCTCAAGGGCGGCTCGGGCCCCGCTTAGGTCTCCTCCTCGCGGCCGGGGGCGGTGCGGGGGCCGCTCGGGCCGCCCCCCATGCCCGCCCGTGCCCGTGCCCTGCGCCTGCCGCCGCGCAGCCCTTCCCCGGTCCGGCCCCGCGACTGGCCCCGGCCCGCCACCGGGCCGCTGCTCACATCCGGGCCCCCGGCAGGCGGACGGCAGGAGGGCAGGCGGGAGGACCGCCTGGGCAGGCGTTTGGACCCGGAGGGCAGGCAGGAGGGCAGGAGCTCGGCTCCGCACAGGCTCCGCGCCGCTGCCGCCTTCGCTCCGCGACGCTGCTGCCGCCGATGCTGCTGCAGATGCTGCTGCCACCTCTGCCTCTGCTGCTGCCACCCGCCGCTGGCCGCTCTCCCTCCTCCCTCCCCTCGGCGCGCTCCTCCTCCTCCTCCTCTGAGCCTCCTCCGGGCTCGGCTCGCTGCCAGGCCCCTCTCCTCTCCTCCCCCCCCACCCCCAGACGGGGCGGGGGACGAGCACGGGCCGGGTCTCCTTTCTCCGGGGTTCTGGCCCCAGGAGGGGCACTTGGGGAGCTAGATAGGCCCTAGCGTGGGACAGCAAGCAGGGAGCAAGCAGAGCCCTCGGCTCCCCTGAGCCAACTGGCCTCTGGCCCTTGGATGTGAAAGGGTTAACTCCCCTCCCCTTCTCCTCCCCTCTCCCCCCCACCCCGGCACTCGAGAGGTTAACTCTTTCGGCGCGGGCGGGGGGGGAGGGGGGGAGAGAGAGAGAGAGAGAGAGAGGGAGAGAGGGAGGGAGAGGGAGAGAGGTGACTCAAACAGAACCCTGGTGGCCTGCTGGCTGAGCCCACTTCTGAGATCAGAGGAGGAGGACGACAACTAGGAGGCAGGATGACAGCTGCCCGTCCCGCCCCCCTCCCACCTTCTCCAGACCAGCCCACCTGATGAAGGCTCCGCCCCTGGGAGGGCTCAGGTGTCCCTCGGTCCCAGCCCCGCCCTCTGAGCCCGGCCCTCGGAGAGAGATGAGCAGGCTAATTGTGCCTGACTGGCCTTGGGATCGAAAGCTGGAAAGGGCATCGCAAACCATCTAGCCCAAGCTCCTCGTTTTACAGGTGAGGAAACTGAGGCCTTAAGCTGAAAAATGGCATGCCCAAGGTCACCTAAAAATGAATTTGGAACCCATCTTCTAATTCCAGAGTCAGAGTTCCTTCCATTATAGCAAGCCCTCTTTTTTCAGATGAGTAAGTTGCTGACTAGAAAGATTCCCTTTACTCCCAAGCCTGCTCCTCCTTCTGACCTTACTATGCCTCCTACGGCCTTTTCCTCTCCTCACTTTCCATATCCAGTCACTCCCCAAGTCCCTCAGTCTACTCCTGCCTGCAAATTAGTCCCTTACTCCCTTCCCCCACACAGGTAGGAAATTGATATTCCTAAAGTACACATTCGACCGCTGCTTTCTCGCACTCAGACCCTTCCTGGGCTCATGGGTTTATTGCTGCAAAGGTCCTCAGAGGCCACCTAGCTCAACCTCTTCATTTTACAGATGAAGAGGCCTAGGGATGTGAAGGGACATAGGTCCTAAGTGTCAAATTCAAATGGAGGTTCTCTGTCTCCAGAGCCAGGGCTCTTTCCGCTATACTGCTTGAAGAATTACAACTGATAATCGCTGCACAAAAGTGGAGAGCTGGGCGCTACTCTCAGCCTGGCACAAAAAGCCCTCTGCAGTCTGGCTCCCACCCGCCCGCCAGCCTAATCTCAGATTCCTCCAGGTCCCACAGTCCCCATTCCAGCCAAGCCAGTCTGCTGGGTGTCGTTCACCAATGTCCGACCCTTCATGACCCCATCTGAGGTTTTCTTGGCAAGGATACGGGAGTGGTTGGCATCTCCTTCTCTGGCTCATTTTACAGATGAGAAATGGAAGCACACAGGGTGAAGTTACTGGCCCAGGATCACATGGCTAATAAGAGTCTGAGGCTAGATTTGAACTCAGGTCTTCCTGACTGTGGGTCTTTGTACTGATTGTTTCCCAGGCATGAAATTCACTCCCTCTCCACCTTAAGCCCTTAGAATCTCTAGCCTAGCTAGTGGCCTTCAAATCCTACTTTCTGGTTGTGCTTCCTGAGGGGCAGAGCTTTATATGATGCTCCAAGTGATTAGCACTCTCTCCCTCTTGAAATTACTTTATATCACTGTATATTCTTTGTGTTTACTTCCTAGGGCACATTTACATTATTTTCATTTTTAACTTCAAAGATTGTTATATGCCATCTCTCACTACCATACAGTAATGCCAATGGAATGGTGATATTAAAAAGAGGGTCTTTTGTTTCCATAGAAAGTCTGGGGTCATTCAAGAATCTTTGCCATTTCTCAAAGACAGCATAGCCTGTCAGTCAGTCAGTCAGTCAATAAACATTTATTAAGCACCTACTAAGTGCCAGGCATTATGCTAAACCCACTAGACTACTCATGGACAGACTGTAGAGGCTGCTACATGTCATAGGCTGGATAAAAGACATTCTTCATCCACTTGGTCTTTCCTGTGTGAATAGTCAGATCAAACTCTTTTGAGGAGTTAGAAATCTCTTCCAGGAGGTTCTGTAATATTCCAGGCCTTGATGCAACCATCATAATGTCACCCACAAACAGAAGAATCTGAGAGACCTCACCATCCACAATGAATTCCTGTTCAAGTTGAACTCCAGCCTATATCTCCATCACAGCTTTTCACCCCTTTGGTGAGTATGCATTCCTGTTTTGTACCTCACCTGAGGTTTGTGACCCTTGGAGGGTCATTGAACAAGAAATGGAGAGACAGACCATGGGTGCGAGAAGGCTACAACACACACCTGATGAAGACCTTTGAAGACGAACGTGAGGAGCCGATGTCATCAGGGAAACATACTCAGAAGAGAAGATGGCCTCGTCACAGGCAAAAGCAAAGGAAGGAGAGGGAGCCAGCCTGAGGGCTCTACTCCTGTCTTGGTGATGGCAAAGTTAGGAAGCCCTCCACCACTTTGAATGGACCCCTGGTGGCAAGGTTATTGAAGGACACTGGGGAGAGGCAGGGAGAGGCATGGATGGTTGGCCATCTGCATCTCTGGAGGAAACAACAAAATCTGAGTTCCTAGATCCACTGGAATACTTGATTATCCATGTGGAATGGAAGCTCCTTGAGGACAAAGGCTATTTCATTCTTGTCTTTGCCTCCTTATCACATACTACAGTGCACATAGTAGGGACTGAATAAGTATTTGCTGACTTGAATTATTATAATAATAGTTCTGGAACCCTTTCCCTGTTCGCTATTTGTACCAACATTACCACCACAATACAAGACTTTATTAAAGCCTCTCTGGATGGAACTATGTTTTTTGCTTGACAGCAAATGCATTATCTATAGCAAATGGCTTGCCTTTTCAAGGAGGGGAGAGAGAACTTGCAACTTAAAATTTTAAAAAACAAAATATCAAAAACTGTTTTTACATGTAATTGAGAAAAAAATAAAACAAAAACAAAAAACCTCACTGACTTCCTGTCTCCTGAAAGGTCTTTCTGCCTTGCCTGAACCATATCAGGATGAAGCTGGTCCAGGCCTGGCTACCTACAGTACCTGAGGGCAGCTAGATGCTGTCTTACCACCTTCCATCCTTACCTTCAGTTTGTACTTTCTGCTAACCGTTCTTTATCCAAAGATGATTTTCCTTAGAAAAGAAAACCTCAGCAAAATTCCAGTTGAGTGGTTGGGCCTTCTTACCATCATATATTAGCATTGTGCCAACTATACCAAACAGCAATCTTATCCTTTCTCTGACCACCCCACCCCCTTTTGCTTCAAACACAGGTTTTAAAAATGGGTCCCTTTTTGTCATCCTTTAGCCTTCCTTGACAGCCTTGGCCCATTCTGGCTCTGAGTATTTGAGACAATACTTACATAACTCTGTCCTTCATTTGTATTCATGCTCTTTTACTTTCCCTTTCCTCCCTATTCTATGAGTTTGTGGGATTGGAGGGAGGACGGCAGGGAGGGGAGACTAAATCAATCAACCCATCCAAATAAGGTAACCAAGAAGATACTATGCCCGATACCTTTATCGATGAGAGAAGAGTACCTCTTCCCCCCAACACCAGAGAATGAATGATCTTGTGTGCTCTGGAAGGTCAGAGGATTTGGACTTTTTACTGGCACAGTAGAAGCTTTCCTGATTGGTTGAACAGTAGGTAGCCAGGGCAGTGTCTGCATTGGACCCAAAGACAAACTAGGCACGCTAGACTCCAGGACTCCAGGAGAAGTTCAGCAGGAGAGCCAGGCCATACTTAACCAAACATTTTGAGGACTCTGGGGAAAGACCTTCCAGAATCGCTGAGTCACCCACTTTGCCACAAGTGTTTTATAATTTCTCTACCTTTTGAAGGATGAGAATTACCATTAAGGCAAATTACAAACATATCAGGTGTCCCGTTCTTGGCAGAGTGAGAGCACTAGCAGATTTCCAGAACACTGAAGTCCTCCATCACACAAAAATGGACACACCTTCAACCTTGCTGTCACTTGCAAATCCAACACCTCCATGTTCAAGAACTCCGAAATCCCCTTATCCAGTTATAATCTATTGGCTCCTTCTCCCTCTGTCTTACCAAACCCTACTGTTTATCCACACCATGACCTCCAATCTCCAAACCCCTCCATTCTCTCCCAGGTCATCTCCTCTGCTCTGGCCTCTTGTCCCCATCTTGACTCCTTAGTGAACCAATTCAACTACATACTGTCCTCTTCTCTTGAGTCCCTAACCCTCTTATCATTGTGCC